GGAAAATAGCGTTACTTACTTTAATGTTGTGCTTTGCTCACAACAGCCCTATGAAGTAGGTAGGGCAAGTATTATTGTCTCCATTTTTCATCTGGAAAAACTGAAGATTAGGGAGATAAAGAGACTTCTTGTCTGCAGTCATATAACTAGCAAATATTGGAGCCAGAATTTGATCCCAGGTTTTCTGACTCCAAGCCCAGGTTTTGTTTGTTATATTTTTCCCACTACTTCATCATAAGTACTATTTTCCCTTCTTAAAAAGATGATAGCAAAATTCCAACTATCTGGGTCAGTAATTCATAAACAATAATTCTTATTCAAGCCATGGGTTGGTCTCCTTGCAGATAGAAAAGGAATACACTTCTTTTCTTAAAATTTCTATTTTGAGAAATAGAAAAAATGATACAAGACAGTGTAACTATTGATATCTAAATTCCATGCAACTTATTTTTGCACAATTAAGTTTTTGAGAAAAAAAAAGATGATAGCTTTTTAAAAAAATAAAACAAATATATTGTATTGAAAACTTGGTAAAACAATTTTTATATCAAATGGTTCTTATTTTTATTCATTGTTATGTTAGGTAAATATATATATCCCCCAAAAGGAAGTAATAATTAGCTCATTTTCAGTATTTTCTCAACAATATCAAAAAATATTCAAATAGAGCAGTCATAAGCAAATACTCCTTGCAATTTAAATGTTTTATTATAATGTTAGAGAAACACAGAGTATTTAAAATAATTTATAATGTATTTAATGTTATTTGACCAAAATTAGCCAGATCCAAAACCCAGGTTGTCTGACTACCAGACTGGTACTCTTTCCATTTACTGCAATACAGAGATGAAGGACATTTCCCTTTGAGGTTAACCATAATAGTTCTATAGTTAGATAAAAAGGGGGTAGAAATGAATGTCATAGGCACTGAGTTGTGCTAAATGCAGCTCTAAAATAGTAGAACAATAACGACCCTCCATATTCTGTTTCTTCCATATTGCCTGTTGATGTATTTACACTGCTGTTCTTGACCTGAATCCAAGTTACTCATCCAAGGGCTTTTTCTTAGAAATAGGATGTGATTAATAGCTAATATTTATATAATGCTTATTATATGTCAGGAACTATGCTAAGTGCTTTATAGTTATTATCTCATTTGACCTTCACAACAATCCTGGGAAGTAGGTGCTATTATTATCCCCATTTTACAAATCAGGAAACTGAGGCAAATGGAGGTTTAAATGACTTGCCCAGGATCACACAGCTAATCAGTGTCTTAGGCTGTATTTGAACTCAGATTTTCATAACTCTAGGCCCAGCACTCTATCCACTGTGCCACTCAGCTACCCTAATTATTTATGTAACTTTATTATAAACCCCCCCAACTTTAAGCATCACCAGTCACCTGCTTTATAATGTCTTGCTTTTTTATTTTAAAAAGACCGTGACCTTTGCTTGAAAGTAATCCAGAGTACCCCCAAAATGGTACAATACATTATATATTTTCCTGAACTTAATCACTTAATATCTTACTTCCTCCCCTGCAGGCTTATATTATATTTTGCACATGGCTCCCAGCTGGTTTTCATTGTGGCCTTGAAAACATGTTTGAGCACTGAGGGCTTTAGGAAGAGTTGCTTTATCTTTTTTGTCAACTTTGGTCATATTAGCATTTCTGTCCATTTTGTTTTTAGAATCACTTGATACCAAAGGCAAACAGTGTATATCTGTACATAAGGGGGGTGTTTTGGTGCAAGCAGGTTTCAAGTTATGTTTTGAATATCTTTGTAGCTTTTTTTTAACCTCATATTCCTCCCATAGAAAACTTACTAGGAAACAGTAATTAATATGTCATGTGGAAGAAGGATTAGATTTTTCCAGCTTAATGCAAGAGGGAAGATAGGAAGTTTCAGAGCAGCAGATTTTAGCTCATTGAAAGGAAACACTTGGTAAGAATTACAGATATTCAATTCAAACATTAATTTCAAGAAGCATTTATTAAGCACCTATAATGTGCAAGGCATTATGTTACCCGAAGGAAAAGCAGGCAGGCCAATCCCTGGGATATGTAGAAGAAAAAGTGATGTATTTGTGTTGTGGGGTAGTGGTAACAAGCTAACTCATACTAGATGAGATGTTCGTTCATTTAGTCGTATCCAACTCTGTGTAACCCCTTGGACTTTGTCTATGAGGTTTTGCTGGCAAAGATGCTGGAGTGGTTTGCCATTTCCTTCTCCAGCTTGTCCTCATTTTACCAGTGAGGAATGGAGGTATATAGGAGTTAAGTAACTTGCCCAGGGTCGCACAGTTATTAAGCGTCTGAGGCCCGATTTAACCTCAGCTCTCTCTGACTCTGGCCCAGGGCTCTATCCACTGTACTACCCAACTGTCCCAAGATGACATAGTTTCTCAAAACTTTTTATCCTCAAGTTTCTAGATGCTTTGTTTCTACTTCATCTCTGTTCTTCAGTCCCTTTCTTTGCCAGAATACCTGCCCCAAACCCTGGGAGCTTTTATAATAGTAATTATAATATGCCTATTAAATTAATTAAGTGTTATAATCAAGATTCAATGGGCAATTTTGGGCATGCTTGAAAACATATATATTACATCTCATAATGTTTCTATGGGAAAATACATTCTGAATACTAAGTAATAAATTTACAAATGTGCTTTGGGAACATACCTCATTTTGTAAGTTGAAATGGCCTGTTCTGTTTCTATGATGTTTCAAAAGATTTTGGGCTGTTGAAAGATAGCTAAATACTCAAAAAAAACCCCATAAAAATGTTTTTCATTTCTTTGTGAATCACTGATTTCCCTTTTAATCAGAAACAAGAAAGATCATTTCTATGTTAATGTCATTCCATATTTTTGGCATTTTGAATTCTCAAAGATGGTAGATTTATCACATTGTCATCCTTGGGCAAAATGTCTTAAAATGCTGTCTAATCCTGGTTTAAAGAATTGCTGACTGACCAAACAAATGTCTAACATGTTTATATATAGTTAATTTCTGTTATGAAGATTCTGTTTTCAAAAAATAAATGACAGGTACAGCATCCCTATTTTCTAATACCTGCTTTGACCATAGCAGGCAGCAGCTGCCTAGGCTAGACTCACTGCAGAAGTTTTTTCATGAGCTATTGACATATATCCTGTCATTTGTTCATGGTCTTTGTCAAAAAAGACTCTTTCAAATATTTTTATTCTTTTTAAAATTTATTTTATTTTTATTTTACTAATTTCAGGTCACAAGGGAGAAAGAGATAGAATACAAACATCTATCATCTAGTCTTATGATGAATAAACCCTATTGTACAAATGTTAGATCAATTTCAAAGTTCAGTTTTATGAAATCTCTTTAAGTCTAACCTGTGGAAAATGGGGGAAAAAAACCCAAAGAACAATCTACTTATTCAATTAAGTGGAACATTTATTCTGATTCCTCACTAGAAAGAGAGGCATAATGTAGAAAATGGAGGTTTTAAATTATCTTCTGTTTTCTAATTAGTGCAATTTTCTAATCACATGCTTAATATTTGTTTCTGGAGCATATATTTTATACAGTGTGCATGTTTAAAAGTGTATGTTAACATTACCATCACAAAATAAAATTCTCACTGGTTGATATGGTGGTTCAGTTATTAGAATGTTCTCTGAGTCCATAGATTATATCAGAAGTATGAATATCTGCATATCACCAAGACTCTCATCTGAGTGGTACAGCCCTTACATGGAGCTGGAGTTTTTTCTGTTGAGTATAATTAGAATGCTGAAGTACCCTAGCTTTCACTTTTTTGCTGATGTTAGCTTGCCAGAGTAGACCACATAAGTTTACTCTTAGTTGAAAGTGGTATAGAGACAGTGCCAGGAACATTCATTTTAATTGGTCAACCTCATATGGGTTTTTAGCAGTAATGTTTTATCACCCAATGTTTTAGAATTCTCTCTTCTACCAGCAGTTTGCATATTATTAAAAATAAGCTTTTGACATTTTTCAGGCTGATTTTGTTGTTATACAGAGTTTCAATCTCTTGCATTTATTGTGTTGTTTTTAGGGAATGAGATTTGCTGAATTTGCACTAAATATTCTATTTAATTCTGAACAAAAGACTGCTATTTTAATTCTCGTGGAAACCCATTTTATTAGCTTGTGGCTTTGGGACTGGGGTAGATGAATAAGCCTTATTTTATTTATTTACTTTTTTAAATTTTTTGTTCTTTAATTGAAGCACCAGCTTTGGAGGCTGAAATATTTTAGCTAGGAAAATGGTGGTATGTAGTGGTGGGGAAAGTGAAGAAAGAATCTATATATTTGTTTTTAATAGAAGTTAGATTTTTTCCCCCCTTTGCTTACTACTTAGGCAAATTGGATTTTCCCCTCTTTTCTAGAAAGTGCTAAGTTAAATACTCAGACTTTTAAAAGTTCACATAAAACATAAAAGAATGCTAGGGTTATTGTTGGAAGGGTGCTTTCTACACTGTAAAATCCCACAGAAATGTATGCTATTGTTAAGTTTTTATAATAATAAAAGATGACCATATTCAAATGATCAAAAAATACTTGTATAATAAGGGTTAACACTTAATGAAACTGTTTGGTGCCTTCTAAATATTTGAATCATAATCTGTCTACAGAATTTACATGCTAACAAAAAAATTTAAGCCCATCTTATTATATAATGATATTATTAATGCTATTATAACTAACAAATGAAAACAGAAAAATATGCTTTTTCTTCCGCTTCATTACCAGTGTTGCTTCAAGGAGTACCAGTGATTTGGCATTCTCTCAGTTTCTTTGCATAAATTGTCATTTGCACAATGGAATTTTAAGTTCAGCAGAAGCTAGATTCCTAACAAAATGAATTTCAGTATTCATTATCTCCATTTTCTAGGTGGTCATTGTCCAAGAGTTTTAAAGTCTTTTATTTTAATTTTTAAGAAATAAGCTTGTGGATGTAAACTAAATGTGAATATCTATTTTTAATTATTAGGTTCTTCATAGACAGCAGTCTCAGCCAGCCAAGGAAAGTTCCCCTCCTAGAGAAGAAGCCCCACCTCCACCTCCTCCTGCTGAGGACAGTTGTGCCAAAAAGCCCAGGTCTCGCACCAAGATCTCCTTAGAGGCCCTGGGAATCCTGCAAAGCTTTATTCATGATGTGGGTCTCTACCCTGACCAGGAGGCTATCCATACCCTTTCTGCTCAGCTGGATCTCCCCAAACACACCATCATCAAATTCTTCCAGAACCAGCGGTACCATGTGAAGCACCATGGGAAATTAAAAGAGCATTTGGGCACTGGGGTTGATGTCGCTGAGTACAAGGATGAAGAGCTGCTGACTGAATCAGAGGAAAATGAGAGTGAAGAAGGCTCGGAGGAAATGTACAAAGTGGAAGCTGAGGAGGAAAGTGCTGACAAAAACAAGCCGGCTGCCCCAGAAATTGACCAGAGATAATGTGAAATCACAACATGGAAAGCAAGACATTGGTCCAAGGATTTTCTGTTTCTATTTTCTTTTTTATTTTATTTTGGTTTTTAGGTTTGTTTTTTCATATTTTTTTAAAAAAAATTTTTCGTTCCCTTTTTGACATTTCTTTGTTGCACGGGATACACGTGCAGACTGAACAAGTTCAGTATTGCCGAATTAGTCATCATCTTGACACAGACACTTGAGTGTTACATTTTTACATTTGACTGAAATAATAATTGTAATCACATAAAACTATGCCTTCATTAGCCTTGCACTTATGGAAGAAATGCAAAGCAAGTTCTCGGAAGAAAAGATCTATAAAACAAATGAAGGAAACTACAAGTGTGTGTGTATATGTATATGTACATATATATATATTTACATATATATATTAAAATTGCATGGGACAGAGAACTTTACAATCTGAAAGAATAGACTGTGAAATGGGTTCTTAAAGACAAGACTTGTTTATGTATTAAAACCACTTCACAATGAGTTGCTTTGGCTTTTTGATAAACTGCCGCCTGCTCTCAGGGTGTGGTGACTATTTTTTTGAATTCCTATTTATTTTCTGTTTGTCCCTGATTTTTTTTTTATTATTCTCTACCTTCCTAGCTGGCAGCTTGATGGTTAATTATTGAGGTATCTATTTAACAAAATAAATCAACACTGCCAAAAACGAGAGAGAAAAGAAAATGAAGCGGAAAAAAAAATCAGGGCACCTTAAGAAGACAAAGTCCAATTACTTTTAAGACACAATGCACACTTAAAATGATTCAACATGTTCCGTTACTCAACTGGTCCTTCCTGTAGTGAACAGATGAACTTTAGTGGAAATCAGAACAATCGAAACTGAACTTCAGTATGGAAAAACTTGTCCACTAGTGAGGTCTTGATAAAATAACATTTTGAGATTGGCTGCATGGAATTCATATTATAAAACCAAGTTTTATCATGGTACTTATTTACCTGTTCTCAGCTTCAGAGCTTAAAATGAGTAAGTCTAATCATTTTTAAATGCTTTATTTTCTCTTTTTTTTAAATGAAAAAAAAAATCCATTTTCTCCCTGTAGAATGGCAAGTGAGAAAACTACAACCTGAGAAATACATTTGGTTAAAAGAAAAGGTGCAGTCGGAGGGCTTCCTCGCTCAGAAACCCAGTCTCTCTCTCTCTCTCTCTCTCTCTCTCTCTCTCTCTCTCTCTCTCTCTCTCTCTCTCCTACAGAGTTATCCCTGGGTAACCGTGGGCTCCCTCCACTTCTGTCAGTGGAACTAAACGTTTCCAGTCACTATGTCACACACAGCAGCCCATTTCCAGTGTTGGCTGGCCCTCCTGAGAGAAACCTTTTGCTAAGCAATTGTGCAGCTCTGAGCAAAGGAAAACAAAGTAAGGAGTTTCAGTACAGTGATCTACTGGTCACTAATGAATACTTCCCCCCATCTCCCCCCCCCCTCGGTGACCTAGCTAGCTAGCACAGAGATTCCATCCGGCCAACAGGACTTCAGCAGGTTGACTGACTCTTCCGTGGAATGAGCAGGCAAGCTCCATTCTCCTAGTATTTCTGGTCTCTTCATCTCTCCCCACCCCAAACCTCAATAACGTTATTCCCACTTCCATTGATAACAATCCCAAGAGGAGACTTCACTTTCAATCCTAGTCTACATGAGTGGAATCCCTGCTTTCAAGTGGCGGGCAGACAGTCATCCCTTGTGCTTTGATCTTTTAAGTTGTGTTCTCATGCAACCTTGTCAAAGACCTCATGCAATATCACTTTGAAAGTTATTTTCTGTTTACTACACAAGCATTGTAATATAACTGTTAATACTATTTATATATTTGAAAGGTATAAAAGGTAGGATAAAAAAAACCTCTATGTGTAGATATTTACTCAGAACTTAACAATATACAGGGAGAAGACATGTTGCAATACAAGCTAATTCTAGCTGCTCAGTAACCTCTGGAGTTTTTAAAGGGACATTTTCCTGTACTTTTTCAAATAAAAATGTTTAGAACTTATCTTGACATGAGTGTCACATACCTTTGCAAAAGGATGGTTGTTTGCTACTAAGCGCTAGTGCTCATCCTTTCTTTTTCTGTAGTATGCTGCAGCTTTGATCCGAAGTTCCAATGGTTGCTGCTTTACGTTCTCCTCAGAGTTACTCCTTCAAAATTGTCTTCTTACACTGTTGCTGAAATCACTACGTACATGTAATGGAAACTGATTTTTGCCAAGCTCTTGCAAGGTGGTTCATCTATTGATGGCATCAGCATTTGGTATCTTTTACACTTCAACCAAAAATTTATTAGGTATTTTTCAATGCTAAGTCTTGCCTTTTATTTTTAATTTCACTGCCAAGTCTGCAGTGGTTCAAAGTGAATCTGTGGGCATTTTAGCCTGTGGTCTTGCCAGAACTTTGCGAATTACAATGCATATATGTCTATTTATTCAATATCTGTCATATAATATCTATTTGGAAAAAGAAACTTTCTCTTGTAGTGCCTCTTGACAAAGCACAATTTTCCGCCTTTTTTGTGAAATAAAAAAAAACAAATTGTGTTTTATTGCAGTATCAACAATGTGAATAAGGATTAACATATTGTAAATGTTCTTTTTTTTCCATGTAAATCAACTTTATCTTTGTTATCACTAAGTGATAATTAATTTTTAACTTATGTGCATTGTTAGGCTGTTAGAATTTTTTGGTTGTTGAAATAAAACGCATTCAATAAATATGACTTAATTTGTCAAGTAATTTACTGGGCCTTACTTTCATTCCCATTGAATTTTTCAAGTGAGCAGACCTGGAGGAGGGTGGGAGTTCTCCCACTTAAGAAACAAAATATGATCAGGACAACCATATTAGCATTTACAGATGTTTAAGTTCTATGCGATGCATGGATTTAATTGCATGTGTGTCCATATATGTGTCTCTGTGTATATAAACACATGCACGCACACTTCCTGTGGCTCAGGGCTCAGAGGACCATTTAGCCAATCATTCCTAAGTATGCAAATCCAACTCAAATGTATAAAGTTATATTTATGAGCTTTCTCCTTTATTTTTCTAGGGAATATTTTCTGTTTATAATTAAAAACCACAAATGACTGCGTGTCAGGAAACTTTTGGAACACATATGCACATGGTTAATGGACATAATAAAAGTCTTTTATATTTATAGACAGGGCATCATAATGTGTGCATGGAGGAATGCCGGAAGGATTGATGTATCTCAAGAAATGTGTGAAAACGATTTTTTAGAAAGTGCTTACAATGGAAAAAACTGCTCAGAAGACTGAAGCTAATATAGTAGGAACAAGTGCCTGATTCAGAATGGGCAAAGCGACAGTGGATTAAAATTTTATTCCGTTTTTCTTTTGATAGTGTAAATTCTCTCTCCCTCTGGCCCGTTTTGCTACATTGGGTGTTTCTTACTACCTCAGTCCATTTCATATGAACCATCTGCTGTATTCTCTAGTTCCCTGTCATTCTCCTGCCACTCCACCAAAAAAAAAAAAGAAAGAAAAGAAGACAACCTTTGTTTTATGACAAACCCATGGATATAAAAACATGGGTTAAGGCCCATCTGTGTTAATAACCCTAAGAATATTAAAAGTCATTCAACACCGGTGGAAATGTCAACATACTTTGACACTGATTGGAAAGTTAAGCAAAATAAGGCTGTGAGAAATTACCCCTCACATAATCAGGTTTAGAAAACTTGGCTTGAATGATTCAGACAAAGCAGAGCAAGACAGCAAAATTAATTCCCACTTGGGTGTATTTACTGGTTTGAGTTAGACTAATCCAAAGTCAGGCCTTCCTCTCCCTCAGATTGTCTATTTAATCTACAAACAGTTCAGCTTCTGCAATGTTGTTGCTTGTCTTTCATTTTCAAAGAAGACCAATGACATCATGGGGTGGTCTTGACTTGTGCCCGAATTTGAGCTGCTGAAATTCTGCTTTGTGCATAGAGGACAGCTTTCCGGCAATATTAAAATGGTAAGGTGATACCTTTTGGCTCATGAGTACATTGGATTTAAGTGAGGTAAAGTTGCACCAAATCTTCAGCCTCACTCTTTTCCAGACTCATCAGAGCCCAGCAGCAAGACAAAAGTCGAGATAACTGTCAGTGTCTTGGGATACAGTAGCATCTTCAATGACTAACCAACGTCTAAGCACTCCACAGCACCTGCTTCAGCAACCTTTGTGGCCAATGGAACAAATTCTTCTCATCTGCCCATTCTTCTGAGGTAAGTACATGCTGGGGTATACTCCCCTCAACTCACAGAAGGTTTTGGGACCCCTCGTTTATCTTCAACCTGGTTTAACCTGTCTGCCAAGATAGTTTACCTGGGTGTGGTTGTGAGCATGCTACAGCTTCTTGGAGCCACAGGTGAGAATTGGGTGAAAGAGCAAAAGGTGGATGAGCAGCCCTGAAGAGGGTTTGGCAGCTTTCATACCAAAGGAACTAGTCCTCCTGGACACCTCATACACCCCAATTTCTGCATGTGAGCTGATCTTACATATGTAAGGGGGAATGGCTAATGAAGGTCTAGACTTAGGAGCACGATTCCTGTGGTGGGGGTGGGTCTGCCTGGTGCCAATCCATATGGAGGTTTGGGGAACCTCCTTCTAGAATTAATTCTTGCCCTTGATCCAGAGCAGGTATTTTGTGATATTTCTCCATCCAATTACTCAAATGTGTCCTAAAATAAATTCCAAGCTCTGAATAATTGAAAGAGCACTAATTTTAAATTCAGAGGAAATGATTTCAAATTCTGGTTCTGCCACTTACTTTGGGCAAGTCCTTCTCTCTGGCTTCAGTTTCTGCATCTATAAAATGAATGGGCTAGACTAAATGATCTGTAAGGTCCCTTCCAGTTCTAAATCTGTGATCATATGATTGTATGATTCCATCAACCAATATGTATTGCATCTTACTAGGTGATTTGGGAGATGCAAAGAATTATAAGTCATATAAATGTAAAAATACAGAAAAGGGAACTCAATATTCTTCTTCCTTAATAAGAACATGCTATATCATGTCCAAGAAGAAAATAGTTCACTTTAATGGCATTTCTAATGAAAATGTCTCCAGATTAGGTAGGCCATAGGCCTGGGATCTTGTCTCAGCTTTGCCCTTTAATACTTCCCATTTTATCTTGGGCAAGACATCCCATTTCTTTGAACATCAGCTTCCGCATTCATAGAATACGCACATATTTACTTCCATGGACTAATGGCCAAGTCATTTCATCCCTTGGATCTTTGGTGTTCTCATCCATAAAATGGGGACAGAAATATATGTCCTGGTTAGCTCATGGAATTATAGTGAGGAATGAATTTAATAATATTTATGAATTTTGCTGTAAAAAATGTAAGGCAATGGTAGAGTTCATTCATGCATTTGACAAACATTTGTTAGCCATGTAGAAGACATGGTGTAAAGTAATGAGAAATTCAGAGATGAATAAAATATAGTCTGCCATCTCAAGGAACTTAGAATCTAGTGGACAGAGGGCCAGGCCTGAAGTCAGGAAGACTCATTTTCCTAAGTTTGGCCTCAGACACTAGCTGTGTGATGTTGGACAAGTCACTTAATCCTATTGGCCTCAGTTCCTCATCTGTAAAATGAGTTGGAGAAGGAAATGGCAAACCACTCCAGTATTTTTGCCAAGAAAACCCCAGGTGGGATGACGAAGAGTCAGACATGACAAAAATGACTCAATGACAAAAACAGCAGTGACTTTACACTCATACAACATGTGCCTTAGTTAATATTTTTATTACTTCTGACCTAGATTGTCATAAAAGACTTCTCTTGGCCTCTCTATTTCTAGAATCTCACCTCTCCCATCTATTTGTCACACAGTTCCAAAAACATCTTCCAAAAGCACAGATCTTGGACAGCTAGGCCCTGGAGTCAGGAGGACCTGAGTTCAAATCCGGCCTCAGACCAAACACTTGACACTAGCTGTGTGACCCTGGGCAAGTCACTTAACCTCAACTGCCTAAAAATAAAAATAATAATAATAATAATAAAAGCACAGATCTGATGATACCACTCCCCTTCTCAAAAATCTTTAGTGGTTCACTGTTACCTCTAGGAAAAATATATAATCCTCAATTTTAAATCCCTCTACTATCTGTCTCCCATCTACTTTTCCAGTCTTATTTCATATTGTTTTACATCAAGATAAACTGCTTTATTAGAATACATACTAATACAATACATATACATACATACCTACATACACATGCAATATTCCATGTCTCTTGCCTCTTTGTTTTTGCACGGGGAATCCTCTTTGTTTGAAATGCTTTTTTTTCATCTTTACCTTTTAGAATCTGTAGATTCCTTCATTACTTAGATCAGGTGACATCTGTTTTAGGCCTTTACTAAGAAGTGGAGTCTCTCCAGTTTTCATTCCCTCAGTTTGTCTCTCTCTGCATGGCTTTGTATGTGTTTGTATGTGCTCTGCTTACATGCAACCCTTGAGTGGAATACAAGCTTCTTTGGGGCAGGTACTGCTTTTTTCCCCCCAATGTTTATATTTCTAACAACTAGCAAGGCCTTACATAAATTGCTGAATTCAATTTAAGTTGGTGGAGACTGGAAAGAGAAGACATTTAGCAGGGTGAAATAAACAACTTGAAAGATGCCAAGTGATTCTTTAAGCAGTTGTATTTATTATACTCACTGACTTTAATGATTTTCTAATGGAATTATCTTAACGGGACAAATTAGAATCTAAGAAAAATCTTTATAAGATTTTTAAAATCAGAAGCCACATGTCTGGCAAAAGGAATGCATCTGATAGCTGGGCTCAATTTTAAATAGGACCTCAAATACTTTTGAATTAGTTTTAAAATTGTAGTTTTTATTTTACCTCATTATTCTTGCTGACTTCTCTGCCTGCCAGACAAGAACAGGAAGGGGAAGTAAAAACTATAAATCTGATCAGTATAGGGGGAAGAGACAGTGCATTAATTCTGATGCAGAAATATTTAGGGCAGATATAATGGATTCTCTGCTCAGTAGGGCAGACAACCAGCATTTGTTAAGTACATACTCCTACACATTGTTTAGTGCTGGGGATACATAGAAAGGTAAACACAATCCCTGCCCTCAAGGGACTTATTCTCTAAAATCAAGAATAATAGAGAACTAGGGAATTTGGTGTAAGTATAGAGGATAAGGGGAGGTTGAGTGCCTGAGAAAGATGGCAGGTTGCTGCCATCCAATTAAGGATGCAGAAAGGTAACATTCTGTCTAGTGTGGACAGAAAAGGTAATGATTCACTTGACTAGTAAGAGTAGATGAAGTGGGAGGAAAAAATGGACAGAATATCACAACACAACCACCCTTGGTATGAGATAGCTTTTTGAGTAAGTCCAAGTAAAATGAATTTCAGTAATAAATTAAGTTCAATGTGAGATGGCTTTACATAACCTTAAAGAGAGGCAGCTTGGCATAATGGATAGAAAGCCAGCCTCAAAGCCAATAAAACTGGATTCAGGTCCTGCCTCTGATACATGCTGGCTATATGACCCTGGGTAAGTCACTTAACCACTCAATACTATAAAATAAAATATACACAACTCTCTAAGACCATAAGTTATGGAGAGCTGCATTGGTAGAGGGAGTTTCCTCACCTGGTTGTTAATTATGTCAATCAAATCATAGGTCTAG